TGAAACACAGGTATGGGGCTGGGGGTGTAACATGGGTACGGAGGTACAGCTTTGGGAAGGAGACTCTGATGAAGGCAAGACAAATGCAGGATGTGGAACATGGGGATTGTGGTCACACATCTCTAAAATGGAGCCTCATTCTTCAGGTTGACCAACCAAGAAGCAGAACAAGGTGTGAGTATGAACTGAGGTGGATCACAAACTTCATCAGAACCTGCAAACAAAATACTGATTGATTAATTAAAATCATAGATATTCTATTAAAACAGGGATAAAATCCACTGCGATTCCTCAAACAACATAGAAATATTAAGGAAAACCTATTTTCTTAAAATCTGAGTACCATTATTAGCCAGCTGGGCCATTGAAATGAGTGGATCACTGGAATTTGGAAGTCGGTCAGCTTCCTTCCTCTTCTGATTCCATTGTGTATAGACGCAGATTGAAACTAAAAGAAGGACTGCAATAACAACTCCAATAGAAGTCCAGAATGTTCTTCTTGGAGGAGCTGTGGAAGGAGATCAGGATTATAGGTATGTACAGTAGCAGCACATTCTCACAGCCTCTTTGCATGACAAAACAAGCAGGAAATAGATGTAACAATTCATAATAATCCTCAGCCATGAAAATTGCAGAGCTCACAGACCTCCCTGCAGACTGGTTCTGTCTAAACTTACTGAAGCTAAGGGCATCATAATAACTATCAAAGCCAAAATGTTTGTTGGCGTGATTCTTAATTTATTTCCATTTTAAAAGCTTTTCTTCAATGGCAGGTGACAGCACATGCCAAGTCATCCAGCACAGACCATAGTTTAAATGTCAAGAGCTGATTGTGACCTGAGTCCCTGGTGCAGAAGGACAAAAGTGCTAGAGGTGAGTCTGAGAGGAGAAATATCATTTCATACCTCAGAATGAAAAGCTGAGAAATAAGAGCATAAGTGGGGCTTAAAATATAAAAGATAAACATCCGGAAGAGAAAAACTGGGTCACAGTGAAGATATATAATATAACACATATAATATAAGTCATCTACAGCGAGCAGCTGGGCCCCACACAGCAACACGTTAGACGCATGTCTCTGGATTCAGGGAGGAAACTGGATTCAAATGCGAACTTCAAAGATGTGGAACCAAAAGGTGAAAAAACATCAACATGACATTAATGCAAACTACTGTCTGTAAAAAAGTGAAAATAGAGAGAGTTCACAGGTGAAGATAGAAAAGTTATAACATTTGGATAAACATCTGCTTTTTCTCCTTATGAAAAAGCTGGACGTCCTGTTAGGTGAGCAAACACACAGGA